GCAATATCAAGAATTCCCAAACTCATTGAACCGCTAATCCTTTCGGGGTTCTAAATAATGGTGAATGTAAATAAATGATAAGCCTTAGCTCCTCACTTATGTAAATAGGCATATTTCATTTTCATTTTGAGACTGACAGCAATCCTATTCACCGCTAAATTATCTGAATTCAAGAAGAATGCTGGATGTTTACAGTTGTGAGATCAATATGCCAGTTCAGCTCCAGACGTTATCACGCGTATTCTCGATGAGCTTCAGTGAAACTGTGGAGGGTCTAACACATTCAATAGTGAGATGGTTAATGGAGTATCTCATGCTGATATTCCATGGGTCCTCCAGTTTCGCTAAAGCCTGCCGTGTGATGCGCGCGATAGCGGGCGAAGCAAAACTGGTATCTTATAATGCATATGAGATTCATTTTCGTTGCGGAGGCCACTAGGTACCAGTTTGTCGTCATGATTTTCTCCCACTTATCATTAGAATTTATCCTTGCAAGGGTTACCGGTGGCTAAGATCATTTTGGTAACATTTCATCACCTTCCATAATAAAACCCTCCGCTGTACGGAGAGTGCAATGTGCAGAGGCATGTGTGCACGAAATGATTCGTAACCCCAGCTGGACCTTCTTCCCCAAAAGGCTTCCGCAACAGGCTCACACCTTGTCATTTTCTCACAGTTATTATACTAGAAAGAGCCGACAAAAAAAACGAAACGAAGTTATCAGCATTTTTTAACTTAAGAAAATCATAAAGAGGGGCAGAATCGGGAACTCCGTGCGCCTGCAAAGCTGTCCCTCCAAAAGCGAGCCCTCTCACTACACTATAGCCCTCTAAAATAGACCAAATCGAGTTACATAAGAGCATGTATTATAAAAGCAAACACGTGTAAAGGGGACATAACATTAAAACGAATCACTTTGTAGAATTCTATTCGCCTGCACAGTTGATATAAAAACTGCACGGCGCTGGTGTCGTCGGATGGGGTGTCGATGGGGCCAACTATGAGCCTAGAAAAAAAAAGAAACTCGGCGGAATGTGAAAGTTGCTCACACACTCTCTGCCAGTTTTCCTAGTGCATAGTCCTGAGAGACCCAGAGAGGGAGAGGTGTCGGCTGGTCCCCTCTTCGTAATGGTGCAGCATCCGACAACACCAGCGCCACCTGCACTGTGCCACTGATTGCTCAAGATGTTGATGTTGAATTATTCCGAGGAGATACGAACTGATAACGTTGTGAATAAGCTTGGTGAGCCTTATCGTTCATTTTAATTACTTATGAACACCCGGTAAGTCGAAATCAATTTTTGTGAGAGAAGTTTGAATCTACTGCAACTTGGCGCACTCGCAGGCAGCTGTAAAAGAGCCTCAAAGGGGGCATTTGCTAGATCCTCCTCCCACATCAAAAGAGCTCGATAGAGAAGAATCGGCATTGAATGGCTAGTAGGCACGTGGTTTTGCTCGGGTGAGGTCGGGAGGAGGATTATTAGGACGACTTGAGAAATGTGTACGGGGTGACTAGAATAAGTAAGCAGGCCCTTGTCAACACAGCAGAAACCGGAAGACACATGACTCCATCCTGAGCAGCCAGCTGCTAGTACGCCGAGCTTGCGTGAGAGCTGTCCGATTTTTCAATTCTTCAGATCATATATTGTGCTTTTCACCACTTATCTTATGCTGGTAAATATTAGTGGTGTCGCAGATTCACAAGGTATGTTGTGCAGGTACTACATACTTTGCCAGAATGCGTAGTTTCCCTGCGCGTTCATAGTTCACGATTGTATATGCGACTAGGGAGGTTCAAAAGGAAAAGTATGCGTATGGATTAGGCGATTAGGCAAGTAAACGACTAGGCGATCGCTCAGCAAACAAATTGATTCGTATGCAATCTTGTTCGCTCGTAGCTCACAAACACAAACACAGACATAGAAGTTTTTAATATTAGGAGTAGCGGGTTTAATCCTACTATATATAATCGGCTAAGTGTGTCTGTTGGTGTGTGTGTGTTTGACCGGAAATTCATAGCTCGAGTCACAGTAACGATAGCGC